TCTCTCTCTCTCTCTCTCTCTCTCTCTCTCTCTCTCTCTCTCTCTGCTATGAAGATCTTGACTCTGGATACGTCTGCTTACTACTCAGCTCTACACCTACTGCTACACTGAGCGGCTATGGCCGCCTCCTTCCACAGTGAACTTGAAGCGCTGCCCAACCAGGGCTCTAGCGATGGTCAACTCGCAAAAATAGTGCACAAGCGCTCAGCAGCACTACCACACTTCTCGTGAATGAGCAATCTGCCCGAAATGTGGCTAGCCGGTCCCTATATTGCCTTCGGCTGAGGCTTGACTTGTCCCAGCCTCCGCTTCTCTTGGCTTGACTTGGACCTGGTACCGGCTGCCCGCGGCCTGTTTGCTTTTGGAATGTCGAGGCCCGGTACCTTCCAGAGGTTTACTTGGTGTGCTGCTTGCTTTTTGGGCTGTGGGACGTGACCTTTGACTGCGGGACGTGACTTTTGGCCGGGCACCGGTTGGACTTTACCTCTGGGGTACCCGGCTTCACCTTTTTCTGTGTCTGGCCGACTTGGCCTCTTTTTTTGACCTGGGAACTTTTGACCTTGAAATGTCTGTTATTTGGGGTCTGCAGCGTGAATTCCCTTTAAATATGGGCTGCGAAACGGGCCCAGCATACCATATGAAAACATAAACAGAACAATTTGAGGTACCGGGCGCATTACCCGGCTTCGGCTGAAGATATCATGCATGATCCTGAGACAGCTGCAGAGAGCCAAGAATTGTACGAAAGCGATTTTTTTTTTTTTTTTTTTTTTTTTTGACTCACATTAGTAAACGCATTCTGGAATCCTCAGAGATCATCCAACTGCCCAGAAACCCGGTTATCTAAGAGATCCAACCAAAAACCAGAAACGGTCCTACTCCCTACCAGAACCCCAAGTCTGCTAGGTTACAGGGCAACACAACTTGCCCCAGCTCCAGCCAGCTTGTCCTGACTGCAACCCCTGGCTGTCCCTTGGAATGCACAAACCAAAGCATCCCCAAATCTCTCTACAAGGCCTCACGCCCCCACGGACAGCAGGTTGCAGGGCAACACCCCAGCACCAGCCAGCCTGGTTCTGGCATGATCGGACAACCACGGATCTCTGAATGTGAACACAGCATCTGAGTGAGCTGCTAGGATCCCTCAGAATCCTTTTCTTTTTCTTTATTTTTTTCCTCATACACTCATAAGAGCAACTGAGGATGGCAAAACTATTCATGAAGATAAACTGAATGTCAACTGAAGTTATTCACGAGCCTAAGGAACCAAAACCAATCTACCTGAGTGCTTGCTACTCGGTAGTAAACCAAACCTCAACATGCCCCAACCCCCATATCCTTGAAACCAGGACTCTACCAGGACTCTACCAGGCCTCACACGCCCAAACATGCTAGGTTACAGAGCAGCACGACCTGCCCCAGCTCCCGCATCGTCCTGATATCACCTCACAGCTGCTTCTTGTCCCATTTGTGTTTAATCCTTGAAAAACAGCGGAGAGGGGTCGAACAGATGGTTAACAGGGGGGTCAACAGAAGGTGCTTTGATTTTTTTTCCACTGCCCGACCGCAGCCAATGTATATACCACATAAAAATTTGAGCAACGTGAGTGCGCTATCTAAATCTCACATTGATTTGATTCTCGTGTCACGAGACCTACAAGGGACCCTGCAACTGGCGGCCATCCTCCCGAAGACCCCACACCCACGCCTGGATCATAAAGCCTGTGTTTTCTGCAATTTGAATTGAGCACCTCTGCAGACTTGGTGTGTCTTCTTGTTCATCTTCCTGTGTCGCCCTTCCCCCCCCCCCCCCCCCCCCCCCCCTCACCTCCCGCCGGGGAGTCCTCCTTTCCATCTGCGATATTGTCGACAACCATCCCCTGACGGAACCCCCAAACACCCTGCCCCCAAACACCACTGCAAAACGCAGCAAAATGCTGCAAAACGGTCCCTTCCAGCAAACCCCTCAGAACCCTCAAATGGCCCCTCAGGCAACCCACCCACCCCCCATTAGCAGACCCCCAACCAACCCCTCCTGCCCTCTCCCCCCTCTCCCCCCCACCCCGAACACAAAATGTCCATAACAAAAGTTTCTCGGCGGATTTGGGCTGTACTCAGCAAGCGCAGTACAGCCCCCAAATCAGATTTGAAAAAAAAATCAGCGGAAGGCTGTTTGCTGACTGGTCGGCTGCAAAACGGTCGGCGGTCGGCTGCAAAATGGTCGGCGGTCGGCTGCAAAATGGTCGGCGGTCAGCGGGGGTGCAACTCTGCTTCTGGCCATAACACCGCTGTATCACGGGAATCCTCCAGTCCACCGTTATGTTCACCGAACGGTCGACATACCGTTTCGGCTACTGTGTTCTTCCTCTCGCCATCTCCCCGATATCCTTCTCCCTGTGCCGTGGCCTGTCTGCTTGCTCGTCTCTTGTGTGCTGAAGCCTGTTCTGTCCATGGCCTCGGGTGGCGATCCGGCGGGCCTGTCCTGCATATAGGACTGGGCCTATACAGAGTCCCAGTACGGAATGCCAGGTGCTGAGAATGCCATGCATACGCCTGAAGGAGTGGGACTGTCCACACATCTTCCCGGTACATCGCAGTTATCCGGAAGTGAAACCCAGTACCGCTTTGGAGACACTAGGGACACCCCGAAAACGAAAAGTTGGCATTTTTACTCCACACAGCGAGTTGAAATCATACAAGGGCATAAGTTGGCGGAGGCCACACACTGGCACCGAATTCGGAGAAGGCATGCTGGGGACCGTAACCATCTGTGAACAGCGGGCGCACAGCATCTTCCATGAACTGGACGTCACATATCATTTTTTTGTTCCTCTGCTTTTTGGAGCACGTTAATATCTGAAAACAGAGGCACAAATGCTTTTCGGTATTTTTCTTTTGAAAAAAACTCGTCACGCATCGATTAAAACGTTTGTCGTGGGACTTAGCCCCAGTTAGTCCAAAGAAATTCAAAGGAGGTTCGGGAGGACGAAGAACTTACGTTTAGAACAATCCAAGATTTCAGGTCCTACTCAACGATTCCTCAAAGGAAAGTTGTTATAACATGTTGTCTCCATCGTATCTCCCCGATGACTTCTGACGTGAAAGTAATAGGTTTAGGATTGCTTACGCTGAAAAAAATGTTGAAACTGCAAGATTACCCGGGTAAATACTTCGATGAATGTCCGAGGAAGTTTATTCGAAAACGAGCACCGCCTTGGAACGATTGGCAACGTAAATACTGCAGATGGTAACTGGTATGAAATAGTAACGGAGGATAGTAATCTGAGAGGTTGCGAATTTTTTAAAGGCTTTAGGATAATGAAAGGAGATTTATCCAAAAGTAATAAAGAGCTCAAAAGTGGCTTACGCAAGTTGTTGAAAAATCATCGGGTAAAGAAGAAGAAGTATAAATCTTTGCTACAAGAGTTACTCGAACGTAATC